TTATTTAAATATTTTGTATTAAATTAATGTTTAACATTTCTTAGTATCAAATAACACAATTTATGAGTAAATGACAAATATTACAAAAATAATATGTTTTAAAATGTAAATTCTAAGATAAATAAATAAAATATATATATTAACACATCATAAACGTTAATTATACTGAAAAATATTCTTTCACAATTTGTTTATAAATTGTGTCAATGTTATATGTATTTATTGTGTTAATTTTTTTATATAATAATTGTATTACTTTTTAATATATTCATCTTATGTTAAATCAACACAAAAATTTGAGTGACTAAATTTGAGATGTCAAATGTGTTAAATTTAACACAAATTTTTCAACTGTGTTATTAATTTGAAATTAAACTATTTATATATTTAATTTGTTAGAACTCTTTTCTTAAAATTTGAACAATTATTTCTTACAAAAAGAAAAATCACTGAATAAAGATTCGATCAGTTATTGCAAGACCTCACCTGGGATAGGCCCTTTGATAATTTTTGATCATTTTCGTCAACGTGAACTTCGTGTAGTACGTCATATATGTCCGTCTATCGCGGCATAATTCAATAGTGCGGATAAAGGTGCCGTTCACGTTGAAACCAATCTCAATGGGGCTGTGTCTGCCGAGGCAAGGCGACGTGCCCATATATTTAGCATAGTGCTCGGGATAAGATTTGCAAACTAGAGACGAGATATGCTGGTGAACGCCTTTCACGTCAAACATCTTATCTCTTACACAAACTGCTTCGACCTCGTTGTCCCAACTTCTGTTTTGGAAATAATTATTTTTGCCTGGGCATGCCAGATAAATGGAGTCACCCGCGGATATCCTCAGTATCCCATTATTGTTATCCGGGTACCAGATGGTCGCATGCTTGCCGACCCGTTTTAGGAGCAATGGTTCAGGCTTCTTAAGATCGCCAATTTTGTACCGTATAGATATTGTGCAACTAATACCTAAAGATCATTAACGCGACGATAAAACAAATTTCGTGAATGTTTGACGATAAAATTGTAAAATAAACAGATGATTTACCAGTGTTAATTGGACTGGAAATTACCCAAATGATATAACACGCAAGAAATGGAATGATCACCAACATGTTTGAATTGTACATAGTCAACTACAACGCGTTTGTTACTTTCGTTTATTTTATATCAGTCGATTAACGGTAAATTCCCAGTAAAAGATAATATACATCAGTAAGACATAATCTTGAACAAAATGTTGATTTGACTATCAGTAGACCTGTAAGATAACTTACAAGTCACATTCCTTCCATAAAAATGCTTTGAGATGACTGCTAGATAAAACTTTTTGGATAAAGAGTAGGACAAAAATTAATATCTGTATCAATTTAAGAAATATTTGTCATGAAGCAATGCATGTACAAGAACAATAAAAGTATCATCTTTTTTTCTTCATATTTAGTTTCTTGAGATTTTATACGATTTCAATAAGAGTTAAGAGAAAAAAGAAAGAAAAAATTATATATCAAAAAGCAATCTAGATACCTAATGTTAATATTTTTTAATTGTTATAATATTACGTCGGGGAAAAAATTTTTTCTTCGTATTTAAAACAATTTTTTTACAAAAGTTTTTCATTTGTTGTGAAATTTTTACAATTATATTGTTTGCTAGAGCAAAGTTTCAGCTTTAAAAATCTATTTTTTAAATTGCAGTATGATGATTTTTATCAGAGTTATGAGCAATCAAAATCAAAATGCTCCTTTACTTAACTCGCGAATAACTCAGGAACAAAAAATCATAGGAACATTTAAAAAAAAATGATTTTGTAGGGAAAGTTTCAAGCTTTTACGAAATAGTCGAAAGTTTTCGTAAATTTTTTTTGGGCACGTGAGAAACCCCCAAAAGTGAAAAGAAAATTTTTCTTTTTCAGCTCGTAGTTTTTTTAAATGTAAAAATTACCAAACTCACAGAAACTCAAAAAATATAGTAACTTTTCGAAAGAGATTTCAAGCTTTAAAACCTTTTTTTTTTAATTTAAATTTCGTTCATTTTTGATAAAGATATATAATTTTGAATTAAAAAATACGAAGAAACTTTTTTCCTGACTCAATATTATTAATATGTTATTAAACAAACATTTTTCAACAAATAAAATTCAAGATAACAATCTAATCAAGATACTAATCTAAAGTGTTTTATTATTTATATTCTAGGAAATTGTTTTTTTTTTTTTTCAAAATTAAAAAATATGGAAAGTAATAGAAATTAACTGTCATATTACTTCTCGTCGCATCGAATATACTGTATACAAAAAGTTATTGCATATCATACAAATTTAACGGAAAAAACATGATAAGAATAGAATATTTAAACTTATAAAAGTAATAAATTTTAAATTAAAAGTTGAAAAGAAAGACCGAAAAAATACTGATGATTATATTACACGAAGGACATACAATTCTAGAGATTTGCTATATAAAGCTTTAACGTAAAAGAAATAAAGAATTGATTAATTTTTACAAATCTATATCGAAATTTACAATAGCATGCGAATATGTATATGATATATTATGATATTGTTAGCTCTTTTTAAGTAAATTTTAAGAATATAAAAATGTGTCCCTTTACTTAGGGTATATTCAACTAAAAACCATTTTTTAAAGTTTCAAAATATTCGGCATTTATATTATCCTAAATAATATACGTAACGTTGATCATCAGTTTTACTATTGCAAAGTCTAACTGCAAGCAATAAATGACTCGCAGTGATAATATAGAGGAAGAGAACACGTAATATCTGCACGACGACGCGGCTTAAGTTTAACAGAGTCATCGAGGTAGATGAGTAAGTGCAGTATTTATATACTGCGTTTCGGTTAGCCGTAGCATATGTGATTTGTACGTGTTGATAAGAGTAACTACAGAGAAATTGTGTATGGAGTAAGAGCGATTAAATAGTCTGAGGATTGTCGACGTAAAAGGGAGTATTTCAGCGGGTTAAACGAGCCTTTCTGAATGCTTCTGTTCTAGCTGGGAACGTTATTTATTCCTGACTTTCACTAACAATCCTATTTAGTGGTTTCAATTTTCCATCCTTCTCTTTTCCTTGTAGTTGGGCATAGCTATTACGTCTACGTGCCTCCAATACCATGAAAATGAACAAGGTATAGAGATAGAATGTTAATGTCGAGCAAACGTATATCTTGATGATGTAGTTCGGCATCGAATGCAGTTTCTGCATCCATAAACAAGTGTCCAATTACGGTAGATCTGAAACTCCTCGAAGAGAAGCTTGTTTATTAACCGAATATTTAAAAACTTATTATAATATATTAATGTTTGCGACTTATTTCGAATAAAATATCGACTTATTTCGAATAAAATATTTCGAATAAAATATAAATCGTAGAAAAATATTGTAATTATATGATTACAAAATGAATTATAAGACGTGACATTATTACACATCTATATATCCGGTAAAGTTATCAATCTAATGTATAAAATGTATGCGCTATTTTATGACTATATAAAAATCCTACTGATAAATATTTATTTCTGGAAATAAATTAATTATAAGAAATTGAAGATATAAAGGAAAAATATTGATATAACATTTTTTATTTCCAATATTTTATTTCACGGTGTGTATAAGTCGCACATACTTGATTGCACAAGTTTCTTGATTAATGAACTTATAGATTATAAATTAGCAATTTGAATGCAACATTTTAATTAAGTTATGTTCAATGATGTTATATATATTCGGTTAAGTTATGCTTCAGTGTGAGCAACATGCTATATATCCTAGCAGATTTACTTAACAATTTAAGCGTATACTGATTTAATGTCGTAATTACCGTTTTGGAAAGCAGAATTCTGCATGAAACTTGAGCGCTTGTATCAGTGATGCCTACCCTTCAATGTAACTTGTTAACGACAAAAGCCAAAGTTCAATTACGATCGATTTGAAGTTTAATTTACAATGACCAGAAGGTTAAATAAAGTATTTGATGATGCAGTGGGAACTAGTACACTAGTAATCTGTATCTATGAATGCTCTTTGAATGGAGTTTTATTTTTATATATAATATCAAATTAATTTAATTAAGAAGATATTTGATGAAATTTTTGAAAAACTTTTAACGACAGACAACTCAATTCATCCATTTGAGTTTTTATTTACTTCATTATACAGATTATTAAAAAAATTGTTAAGAATATAAAATCATATATTTGTCTAAATTCATGTATGTAGAAATAGAAAAAAAGAAATCTTGCATATGAATTCCTTTTCAAGCGGAAAATTGATTTTGAATATAGGTCGCAGTAATGTTTGACCTCTTCTGGAAACTGACGAGAAGTCAATAGCTTTTCATAAAAGGCGGATTACACTTTCGTACGAATTGCTTTATGAAGGCCTTAAGGCACTCAAGAGCCATCTTGCAAGAGAGCTTTTAACAATGAAAAACGGAGGATTTAGTAATTCGTTCGCGAATATACCGGAGGTGACGGCTATACATATATATATAGAATTTATATAAGCATGTTTTTGAAAGACTGTATTGCATTTTTTATTTTATCTTGAGATTGTTTAAAAAAAATATAATAAGTTGAGTGCTTTTTAAATGCACTATACACATCCATAATAATAATATCTTTACTAAAAAAATATGAATATAAACATGCAAATGCAAAATAAAAAATTTATATAACATTATTATTTCATCTTACGTTAAAAATAATTTATAGCTAAACATAAATATTTAATTTTTATGACTTTGAATGGAAATTATAAATTTCTTACTTTCTATTATTATACGTAGATACATCACTACATTAAATATCTAAGAGGGATGATAAATACAATACATTCACGCTATCAATCGAACATGAATAAATGATTTCAAACATACAATAATTTATTTTTATTTATTTTATAATTTTTATTATAAATAACATTACAATTATTCACGTTTATGATAACGTTAAATTATTGATTATAATATTTTTATTAAATGTGTTCGTTATTATATATTATATATTACGATTCATTATTATGAGAACGTACAGAATATTTAAAATATTAATATAATATTAATAGGAAAATTATTATTAATAGTTTAATAATAATGAAATAAATATATAAAATATATGAAAAATTAATTTATGATGTGCTAAATTCTAGTGATTTAATTTTAAAGAATTATGAAATTAAAAAATATTAATTACATTAATTATTGCTTTAATAACTAATAATTGACTAGTTATTGCCAACTAGTTAGTATTTCAACTATCTCCATATGATTTGATAATCGAATTGATAAAACTGCAAATGAAGAAAATCCAGGCTGAGATTCTATTTTCGACAACAAGTCCTTTGTAGTATTTTAAGATGCTTATTAGCAATATTAATATTATTATTAAATTGACAATCAATGTAATTTGCGATATTATTTCTAGCTTCAGTTTATGAGTGCGTTTTAAATCTGACAAATTGAATTGGTGAGTTTTACAAAACTGAAAAATGTATTAAAGTATATACATTATCAAGCATTAAAATCTACTTCCTATTAAAATAGGATTTATTTTTATTGATCTAATTTTTACTTATAATCTAAAAAATATACTTATATTTTATGAACAAATCGTTAGTTTTTAAATCGTTGTAAAAACGTTTAAAAATAATTGTCCATTTATATCGACCGATTACATATCAAATAAAAAATAATGTTAGCTATTTGAACATCGAAAAATAATACAGAAAAAAAATTGAAAGTACTTACGACGTTTCAAAATAAACAAAATTATTATTATGCAAGTACAAATAAAATACAAACGAGATTTATTTCACTATTGGAACAATTTATGTTAGATAGGATGGTGCATCATTATCATGCAAACCGCAAGGATAGATGCTTGTGTGAAATGCTATACGCACGACATTCTCCATTGTGGGTTTTCACGAATTCCATGAATGCATGCGTGGTTATCATTCGATGGATAACCGAGACCGCTATCGAGTTTAACCCTTAAGTACAGAACTGATCATATGCCCTACTCATACACGCATATGCACAGACGCCTGTTTCACACAGATTATCTTCTTTATATGATACTATATATCCAGTATATGACATCAATATCTGGAAATTCGATCTATCAATAATCGTGTATATGTGTGCATTTTCCTGTGTGTGTATATATACTGTGTGTTGCTGTGTGTATGATTTAAAAATAAACATCCAGATATTTTAAATATAAACATGAAGTTTTTGTTGCTTCTAATCTATTGGTAATTAGAATTGATATTGAATGTTTTTATTTTAAGCATTTGTCATGATATTAATTTATTTTTATTCCAAATCTACGAAAAGAAATAAATCGGTAAAGATAGCGGTCATCAGCTATTTTTTTAATAGTGTAATTATCAATGCTTTTAAAAAATAATTATATTTTATTCGAATAGTATTTGTTATGATTTGTTTTATTATTATTGTTCATATTACAAGGAAAGTAAGTACAATGGATTTTAAATATAACAGTGTTTTATATTTAGCAACGAAAATTTATATGTATTTATTAATACTACAAATATCTTATTATATCAAAATTATGAATTTATATTAGAATTATTTCCAAAACGTTTTATCATTTTCTGATCTTACAAGATTTCAATATTTCAACAAACTATGACCTTATTGATTATATTGACATTTCCCTCTTTTCTAGATTTTCTTATATTAATGTAAAAAGCCCTGTAAAATTTACATGTAGATATAAAATGTGCAGATGCAAAATTAGTATATGCATGCGTAAGAAAAATGGAGAGTCACAGCGCACGCGACATTTAAAAATGGCGTTAGGTCACCAGAAGGACGTAACCTTGGTCTATAAAGTGATGTCAAAGAAATTTCAAGATATTAATCCTTTAATACCGGAACTTCATTTTACAAAATGTCCTTCAACTTTCCTTCAACTTGAAATTTGTTAATATCCAAATAAACAATTTTTATTATTTTATACTTATATTTATATTTACACTTGTATTTATAATATTTTATTTTTATGTCTATATTTTAATTTTAGTCGAGTCTGCAATTATATTTTGTAAATGAAAGAGTAAATTAAAATTTACTAACTATTTAAAGAACTAAAGTCTCTATTATTTAATTATACGCGGCATTACGAAAAATTGAAAATGTATAGAAAATTTTTTCGAATAAAATCTATTATTATTCTTTTCTAGTACATTTTGCAGGTATTAAATATTAGATATTTAGTAGTTTGTGTTTATAGAGTAAGTTCATAGAGTAAGCTTTTTATCCGATTTCCTAGTCATCAGACAATGTACATAATTCGTACTCAACAACTATGCCACGAGTATAATTATTATTGTTGACGCTCGCATTTATATTATTGCAGAGGACCATTCAGCGTCGTTCGGAAATGCATTCACCGTCACACCGGGCAAATTTTTGCCGTGAAAATTGTCGATGTGGCGAAATTCACCTCTAGTCCTGGGCTCAGTACTGCGGGTGAGTGTGTGTGTGTGTGTGTGTGTGTGTGTGTGTGTGTGTGTGTGTGTGTGTGTGTGTGTGTGTGTGTGTGTGTATATATGTATATATATATATATATACACATATTGTATAAGAATGACGTAGGTATACACACACAAAAAAGATAAAGAGATATCCGGAGGTATTTTTTTCTGATTTCGAGTTCCTCACGTTTGAGCAGCTTAATAAAAAACGCAGATTTTTCGTGCATTATACATAATATACATTTAAATATCGAACATTCAATTGAAGTTGTTGAATAAATATATTTAATAAAATATCTCTCCAAAACTTTAAAATATCAGATAAAATATTTTCAAGAAACAAGAGTATAGATATTTTTGTAAAAGATCATTTTGGGATAGATGTCTTTTGTAATCTATGATCAATATTAAAGTTTTTTAATTTGGCATATTTTAATTTGAAAGTGCTTTAATTAATAACATTGCTTTTATATATTTTATAATATTCTTGTAATATTCGGAGATAAATAAATCGATTTAAATTTTATTGAGTTATTTCTCCATTACACAAAGAGTCCATTACACAAAATAGTCTCTCATGTTTTATACATTCAAGTTTATCTAAATAAAGAAGAGCACCATTCCTATCGATTTGTAAATACTCTTCCATTAATTTCCATCGTGTTTTCGAAGCAAGGCCTATACTTCCCTATCCGTTCACCTACCGACAACGTACGCTGCTTTTCCCAATGCTGCCGACTGACTAAACATAGGTTCGAGTTGTGAATCGACGCGAAAGCCATTGTGCAATTGAATGGAAAGGCGGACCATTGTCGCCGCGCACATTTTTCGGGGATTTAACCCAACATACCAGTCGACAAGTCTAAATGAAATATACGAGAAGAATGCATTGTTTAAAAACCAGTTTTTTCTAATAAAGCGCCTTTTTTCCGGAAATGAGAGTAATATTTAATTTTTACTGAGCACGGAACTGGTGAACCAGGTGTGAACATACTATGAGCTCGCTAACAGATAGGCCATAGCTGAGCAGAGAAAACGACTTTGGAATGACATTTTTCATATAATTTCTAAATTCCCTATAGCATTACTGCAATAAATCAGAAAAATAGACTAAAAACACCTCCCAAAAAAAATAAATGTATAAATCATATGTATTAATAATGAAACAGATGTTCATTTAAGATACCATATGGAATCTCTTTGGGATTATATGGACCTCACGTGGAAATATTCGGAAACATATGCGAACAGAGTATAATATTTCGTTCCCATTCGTGAGATATAATTTTACGTATGAAGCAAGATGTTTTATTTCGCTAGATGTCGTAAAATATTAGTTTTCTTGTTCATTCTTTGTTGTCATTTTTTTTCCTCTTTTTTTTATGATTACTTTCTTTCTCATTTTCATTATAAGTGTTATTTAATCAAAGTTAAGATTAAATATCTTAATATTTTAATTATTGACATTATATTTTTTGCTAAATTATATTTACTAACAATATGTTAAAATTTTTTAGAAATTAAACCGTATTACCGAACTAATTTGCAAATAGAAAGTATAATTTTATTCTTTAGGATTAAATAAAGTTTATATTAATGAGATTTTAATTTAGTTGCAAAGATAATTAATTACGAAATTATAAAATAGCTGCATGTATAATTTAGTGATAAATTTTGCAAGTTCATATTGCTGTTTTTATTAGCCAAAAAATTTATCAATGGAAGATTCATTGATAAATTTCTTTATATGCATCAAAATTTTATAATTTACTAATTTGGAATTAATTAATTTACTTTTAGAGAAATGTATAAAATGTATAAATTATAAAAGAAATGTAATTTGTTAAAGAATTTTTATGTTGTTTTACAAGTTAGCACACTAAATGTTTTAATGTTATTAAGTAAGTCTTTGTTTAAAATTATTGCAAATAGTTTTTTATATTTTTTTATGGTATAATTTTTGTTTATACAAGTAAAAGCTAAAATATAAGCTATTCTGTTATTATAGTCGATTTTCGTAGTTTTGTTATTCGTAACTTTGACTACAGATTACATTGCAGTTGAATGCAGATACGGCATCGAAATTGACTCTAATAAAAACTGGGAAACGTTTTTTCGCATTTAATCCAGATTTAGTATCTACAGTTTCATTTAATTAGAATAAGATTAAAATTATCTATTCTGATTTTTTTATAGGCATCTATGTACAAAGTATTTATTTTCTTTAGATTTTTCAATATAAATAGATTGTTTCAATATAAATAGAAAATTTACATAATTTTATACATTCGTAATGTAATAAATTTGTATAATAATATTAATTTCTTATATAAGTTGACAATACTGAAATTTTAGTTTATGATAATATACACAGGTATATACATTTTACAAATAAAATATGTTTTTATTAAAACATTTTTTAATATTATTTCTTGTCATAAATTTCTTGTCATCTTTAAAAATTTGTCATCTCAAAATTTTTGACATTTTTATGACAAAGTGGATTGCGTTAAGAATCTCTCTAGTAAAACAAAATTTGTTTAAAACAATTTGAACCATGTTTAGTCAATGATTTTAATCTCCATGATGTATAATGCGTGAAAGCCATCTGCTGCGTTAAATCTACGTTTCATATGTTTTAGATTTAAAACGAGAAGCTACAATATGCCATATGTTGAAACATCCACATATTGTGGAACTGCTCGAAACTTACAGCTCCGAGGGCATGCTATACATGGTATTTGAATAGTAAGTATGCAAAAATGTATATATTTTATATTTTAGGAAATACATTTTTTTATTTAGCTCATCAACAAATTTAATTATAATTTGACAAAAACAAATTGATAAAAACAAACCTATTCTACTTAATGTGCAACATTTATCTAATTACAATATTTTATCTAATAATAAATTTAGATACAGTAATCTCTAATCTTTTACAAAATTAAAACTGTAAAAAATAACTATAGTATAAACTTATTATTATATATAGCATAAATTATAGTTATATTCTTTTAATCATGAACTTTTAACGAGTCTTTTTTTAGAAATACAACTTTTCGAAAGGCGTCAATCTCGTCCTTTATATGCCAACAAGTCTACTCTTTCATTTTCCTACTTACTACCTTCGTAATTACTACCTTCAAGCTAATGAAACGTTATGTTCGTAACATATGAAATGAAAAAACATTACGTTTATCGAAAATGGGAGACTCGGTAAAATAAATACGTGACATTTCCTTAACGGCTCTATCTTTACTCTATCTTTACTCAGGAAAAGCACGTTTTCCATTTAGTTGTTTGCTATCTATTATAATGTTTTACTATAGTTCGCTATAATTGGATACACACATCCGAGGTGCTCTCGAAATAATCTACGCTATCGGATAAGATAGCTATGGTTTTTAATAGACTCGGTGCTCAAGGCGTTTTTAACGAGACTATTTAAATAATATGACACTCAACAACACTTCGTTATTTCCTTTAGTTTAATGGGATATTATTTATGTCATAAAAAATTCTTATTCAATGACAACATTATCGATATGACACGATTAGATATACAAATATTTTAATCAATAATTTTCTGTGAATTAATTAAGCGTTAGAAATATTATGTTACATTTGATCATAATCGATATATACATGCAGATAAAATATCAATTAAATAATTAAAAATGATTCATGAATAATTAAAACAAATAGGAATCAAAGAACAAGAAATATTCAAATTATTATAAAACAGATTCATTTATCGCATCACCAGATATTCCTATTTCAATATTTCATTTCTTTTTCAGTATGGACGGCTCTGATTTATGCTTCGAGGTCGTAAGACGAGCAACTGCTGGATTCGTATACAGTGAAGCAGTTGCAAGGTAAGAAATTCATCATTATATCTATCATCGCGCGTGAGCACACTGTGCGAACGTCGCGAATCCACAGCAGACAGTATATCCATTTAAACATTATCCACTAAAGCTAAGACATCGTTTACTTTAGATGTAGTACGATATGCTGGCATTATGTCGCATGAATACATAATATTCTGTATTGTTCCATCCTAAAATTTCCAGGAGTTTCAGCTAATTGTGGCTATATATATTAAATTCATCTTTTATTACTCATATTTTTTCAGAACAATTAAAACATGTAAAAAATACATATCCGAAAGATTTACAGAACATTGTTTCCATTGAAGTACAATTATCACATAACATCTAGATTTAACATGTGATGAAAACTCTACTCTAATCTGTTTATTAATCTTGTTAAGACGAAGATGCGTCCAAGATGAAATTTGATAAATTAATTGTTTTCATCGAGTCACTTGGAAGTACTGAAACTTGGAGTACTGAAACGTGATTACCTTTTGTATGTTACACTCGATATAATGCAAACGGATTCTCTCTCTCGAGTCTCCCTAGAGCGTAATAAATCTCTGTCTCGATAAATCCTTGACTGCGATCCATTAGATTCGCTATACTCGTTCATGTCACGCTTGAAATAACAGTAGTCTTCACCTCGAGAGGATCCTATTAAAACTGTTCACAAATATGTCTTATATTTTTGACATTATGAAGAATTATTAGATAATAAATCATGTTTAATATAGTATCTCTGATAGAAATAACTACTAAATAATATCTGATTATAAAAGGAAGATATACATTGCAAATCGTTTTCATGCGTTTAAGTACTTAGCAAATACCTATGTATATCCCCAGGATCAGATATGATATGTAATCTCCATGATATAAATTACACATGAAATAAAACCTGATCATAAGAGGAATATAATACATTTTAAATTGTTTCCATATGTTTAAATATACTTAGGAAATATCTATACATATATATTTTCTATATTTAAACGTATAGATATTTTATATATTCTCCAGGCTTAGATATAAATCATCTTTTTCAAATCTTTACTTTCTTTTGTCTGAAAAACATGCTTTTTTGTTGTTCGAATTTCTCAGAATCAAAAACTTTATATTAATATTACATATCAGATTCACAAACGTTATGTATTCACTGCATATAGATATCTCACATTACAATGCGCTCAAAAGATCTCAAAGTATTTGATTGATATGAAAGTACAATGAACATAGTATAGTAAATAACTGCATCGTTTTTGTCTGTGCGGTATTTCATATTTTGCTTCTGGCAATACACTGTGTCATCAATATCTTGTTTTTATTTTAGACTGTATTTCCTTTTTACATACTTTGTAAAAAATACTAGTGATAATGTCAAGAGTCATTTAGAAAGGGTTTTATACCGTATACAACTGCATGAAAAATGTTACTCTAAAACGTATATTTATCTATTAATTAAATTTAAGTAATATGATTTTGGTCCTTCCGTTTGATGTGGTTTTATTTAATAACTCATAAATACAATTAAATAATATTGTTAATATAGTTTATTACATTTACTGTTTATAACATAAATCAATTCGAAGTTTGGATTTGTATTTATATTATTTAGTATCTTGACTCTTTATTTATCGAATGAATTTTATTAAAACTTCATGTCGTAAAATCACTTCATGATATAACGAGGCATGCCTTAATCGCTATATTTAAATTCTCAAAAAGAACTGGTTTTCTCTCGCGCGCAAATGCTTCTCCCATGCGGCCTTTGCTATTGTTCTCGGCTGAGGGCGTACTTTCGTGACGTATTCAGAGAAAGGTATGGTGTAACGCCAGTACCTAAGAAAACTGCATTTTCTTTTGCAGTCACTACATGCGACAGATCCTCGAAGCATTGCGTTACTGCCATGAGAATGACATTATTCATCGTGACCTGAAGCCGCAGTGCGCCCTCCTGGCTGGCAAGGAAAATTCCGCCCCGGTGAAGCTGCGCGGTTTCGGCGTTGCCGTGCAACTCCCGACTTCGCAATCTAATGGCGTTGGTATGTTCATACCTTCTTCTAATTCACTTATGTTTTCTTTACGCGATCTATTTTACATGGCGTAGAGAGAGATTCACATTGAAAGTCGTGCGACCTCAGCTCTGGGATACCCGACTTCCATTATTAATGATTCTCTATCAACTTCTAACAAAGTTCTATATACGTGACACATACGACCATTATCATATAAAAATAACTCTATTAGTTTGAAAAATGGCTTTAAGCTAGCGTCTATTAAATACGTACCTTTTAAATTTAGTTAAATCAAAAAAATTCGGAAAAAAAGTTGTCGTAAGTAAAATTTTAATGTTAAAAATTAATTTAGAAAATATTGAGTTTAACGTTTAAGATATTGAACGCGATTAAAAAATAATTACAATACAGTTTCGATAAAATAATAATCAATTTTTAATTTTTATGAATTAATTTTTTATCTGTTTTTTTATTTCTATTTTTTCAATAAATATTATGTCATATCGAAATTTAATTAAATTTAAACTGCTTGAAAATATTGATTGCATCTGAAAATCTCTTTTCATTTTTATAAAAATATCAAATCTTTAATTTATAACGTAGAATAGAATTTTCTAGATGCTTGAGAAATACTTGCATGTCTTACAATATAATGAAATTTTTTTTTAAATAACATGAAAAGGGTATATAACATTATTACTGCCATAGTTGAAGAAAATCAACTTTATAAAATTAATTTTCGCAAAGTTTGCTTGTACATTTTGAATTAGTTTGCTCAGAATATCTCATCGACAAAAAATATCATTTTGAGAAAGTTTTTGTTATTCCAATATATTGAAAAGATATATCGATTAAGTCATGGTAACAAAAACATCACTTGAAACGTCACTTGAACTGAAGTATAAAATCGTCGAGACGTAAAATAGAATTTACTTGGGCTATGCAAATGCCTTAAACACTTTAGTTTCCCTTTATTTCGTGACATAGTTCATGAGAGCTGACGTCGTGCTGCTTTTAGCGCGACAGCATTAAAATTACTAAATTTTTCATAATATTTTTAAGTGGTGTCAGCGCTAGGCGAGAAGTGAAAATACAACATTGACGTTATTAAGATGAATAGGGAGATTATATCTCGAAATATTCATAACTTTATTGCCTCGTGATTAATAGCTTTCATAGAAAGCAATACGATGGCTTTTCTACAATCATTCATAATATAACAAAATATTATTTAATAGAACTCTTTATAATATCACAAGTATATATTTAAATATTACGTAAATTGTGATATTTTATAACATAAATTTAAAGATAAATCTTCTCCAAAATTTCACCTGATCTGGCGCCAACACTACTTATATTTAGCAAAATGTACGCTGATGTAAATTATATTTACGCGTAAATATAATTATACGCTTATTCTGCAAATTGGCTGAGAGGCACTATTCAATGCTCATACATCTATTATCGAGACTCTATACATCTAAGTATTTATGTCTATTTTGCTCTGGTATACATGAAGTTAAATATCAGATTATACATTAATTTTATATTAATTATTTGAATTTTTTAAACGTTAATCGAGTTAACATACTCACAACTAACAACTCGTATACATACAAGCGTATATACATATAATGAATTTTGCGTCACAGCTAATTATTCGACACATTCTTTAAATATGAAAATACATTTAGGATCTACAAATTTATGATTAAACTGTTTAATTATATATGGTATGTATTTGTGATAATTTATTAACTTTTTATATTATATAGAAAGATAGTTTTTTAAATATAATAATACATTTTTATTCAGTATCTTTATAAAGTTTTATTTTTTTTATTATGTTGAAAAAAGCTTTTGTCTAAAATTAAATATACATAAATAATATATAATTTTGGAATAATACCTTTAATTTAAATGATTGCATTATACATATATTCCAACTAAATTATTATTTAATTAAGTGTTATACAGTTTATATACGCTTAACCTATTTTCGCGTAGCGATCTCTTTCGCATTAATATTTTTTGAAGGCTAATGGACTATAAAAGATCAAGGCTATCTCACAACGAGAACATCGTTAGTTCAAAAATCCAATATTATTACGCCAAATGTTAAAAAAATTTATTGATACAGCATATCGTCGATTTTATTTTACGAGAAACGTGGTATATTTATTATTGAAAGGGTTTACATGTTTCTATTTGAGAAGTTAATTTTAAATTGCCAACCTGTTGGTATTCAACCGGATTCATTATGACTAGTTCAAATGAGTGTCATTTAGCTGTGCTGCTTCCTTTTCATTTATAGCACTATAAAAGAAGAGTTTTCAAATATTCAGTAGCAAAAGGCAACATATCCCCAGAGATATGGCATTATTATTGTTAGGGATGTGTGTCAATGCATCTTTGACTCAAGATTAATTAAGTTTTTGTGAAATAAATTATAATTATTATCTCCTGAGGAAAGTTCTTTTTACATGTTACAAATGTACGACATCATTTCCAATAAAGATATGACTTAATAACCTTCACAACGCAGTGCGATAGTAATATTAACGGGCGAATGAGGACAAAAAATCTATAAAAAGTGCATTGAATATTGCCTCCTCAGAGTTTGTAATTCAAATTTTTATCTTTTTTTTATTCTTTTTCTTTTTTTTTTTTTCGTACCGATACAATGTGTTCCTGGCTCTCATCAAGCGTCACTTCAAAGACACTCGGTGTTTTTGTATCGTCTCTCTTTTGAATGCCCTACTCTGCGATTATTGGCTGGCTTGGTCGATGATTGGCAAATCACATTCAAAAAATTTCTCGGTGTTCAATGTGCACAATGCAACAGCTTTTATCGGATTTCTTCCCTACTGACAATCGTGATGCTCTCTTCTCTGATCAGCCGCAATCGATTGATGTTTATGCATTTTTTTTTATAATCTTTCGCTGCTTCGATATCGCATGGTTCCATTTGTAGATGCTCTTGTTGTTAGCGACACTTGTAGATATTCTAGACTGTACTGTTACGTCTTGGACTAATTTTAGACTTCCTTTGCGTGATCAGCGCAATTATTGTTGTCGTGCGTCTTCAAGTGATTTATTTCATTAGTAGCCATGCGATGTTAAAGAAGCGTTTTCAATTATGAAGGAAATTAGGAAATCATCTTTCGCCAACCTATATAATTACATTATGTTAATGCCGACAATCGATATTGGAATCGCATTATCGATTTTATAATAGCACCAGCATCGCGTTACATCGTATCGCCGTTAAGAGCTGTTGATAGAACACACGTTATCCGTTGATTTCTTACTTTCGTTCCATTTATTTAATATTTAATCAAGATTAACATTTAATCGAAGTTAGAGGGTTAATAATAGCATGGCATTATCAAAAAGGACATAGAACAACACAATGAATGAATAAAATAACAATAAAATAACAGTATTGCTATTTTCATTTGTATTTAAAGAATTTAACCCCGAAATATTGCCATAAAAACAATATAATGATAATGTGTGTCACTAATAATAGTATGACACGTAACACTGTATACACTTTTATATGACGAGGCGCAGGATAAGGTGGTTCCCGCCAATCGATAATAGAATTCAATACCGATAAGAACTTTTGTCGGGGTTAATTGCCCCTTCATTCCGCCTAAGACGTTACGATATTATACCAAGTCAGATATTAATCTCTCCTCCAACTCCCACGGCTGTCGTCTCTGATCTTCCCAGTTCGAAACTAATTTGGCATTCTGTGAGAGTAAACCGACGGCGTTCCAAATACGTAGGCCGGAGATTGACTGGAAAAACGTCGTGTAAACTGGGACGCACAACTTTTTATATACGAGCAAAACAAGACAGTGTTCGCCGCGCTGGGATTACGAATCTTTTTAAACAAAAAGTTTCCGACAGCGTGATTAAATACGCATAACGTTGCTGCGCGACGTCTCTCCTTTAACGCTCTATCATGCTTATTTCTTACATATAGCTAATGTTTCATTCTCAACTCTTTATGACTTGAATTCGCGCATAACACCGTGCATGTAGAGAGTAATGCGAAAAAAAGCACAAGTATACCGATGAAAGTTTTCCGCGGATTGCATTATGCAGCGACAGCGCGAGAAAAGCACGTCGTCTGATTACACTTTGATAACGTAAAATTTGGTTTGAATGAATACAGCATGTTACACGACCGAGTATCGGCAGTGTCTGAGCCCAAAGGGGCAGCTCTACTTGAAGGCCGACAGCGAGGGTAAGCCTGATCTAACCTTTAATCATTACTTCCGCAGGAGCCTTGTCTCAT